CCCGCAGCCCGTTTCATGAGATTATACACGGCCGCGGGGGGGGTGTCTGACCTCCAATTCGGGATGTCCGGCAAGGAGTCGTTGTGGTCCAGCAGGCGTACGATGGCATCGTGTCACGGGCCCTGGAAATGAAAGTCGCGAATGCGGGAAACGCCCCGTTTGAAATTTGAAATTCGAAATCGCGGGCTGCGGGACGATGGGGAGGCGGCGCACAGGCGGGTCCTGGACGATGCAGGGCGCGCTGCGCAGGCTCTACGACTGGTTCCGGATGCCATCACCTTGCGTACTTCAGTGGCGACTCACGGCCACGGTCTGCGGTGTCATCGACGCGGCAAACTGGAGAGGTTCAATCCTTACTGCACGTGTCCGCACGTGGCGGTTCTGCACTTTGGCGGCTGGGGACGGACGATTCCATCGGGGAGGACATCGCTCAATGGGGGTGGCGGACGGCGAATTGCAGGCATGTCATCGTTGTGGTTGTGTAGGTGGTGGCGGCAGGTGGCAGGCATTCATTTTCCAGTATGAAGGGCGCGATGGAGGGTGGCAGCGAGGGTCGTCGTGCCGTGTTCTCGACGACGGAGAAGACAGCGGTCGCGGCGGCTGCGCTCGCCGTGGTGATCCGCAGCCAAGTCGAGAGGGCGGCAGGGCGCATGAAGGTGACGCATTAGAGGCGGCGTAAGAGGCTTCTGGTGCAGAGGGTGGTGGACGCCCCGGACTGCATTAGCACCTTGGAGGCCGTGGTTCAGCTGTCCGCTGCAATCGGGTGTGGTGTGCTTCCTCGGGCGATGCCACGTTGGTGGATGAAGCGAAGAACAGGAGGCACTTGGGAGGATTTACGGGTGTGCGATGACGCGACTGACGACTACTTTCGGGAAAAGCTCCGCATGTCCAGGCGAGTTTTCATGGAGATCAGTGAAGCCTGTGCTCCACATCTACAACGACAGGTCACGTTCTACAGGGAGCCGCTCCAGCTGGAGTAGATCGTCACGTACACGTTGTACATGTGGGCTACGGGGGAGACATACGACAACAACACGTCGTCTTTCGGCATAGGGCGAGCTTCTGGACTTATTGCCGTGCGCGATGTCACATCTGCGTTGTTGAGGGTCTACGCAGACAAGATTTCCTGGCCTACGAGGGTGCGGAAACACGTCGTGCTCCAGGCGCTTTTGGAGAAGGGCTTTCCCAAATGTCACGGCGTTGTCGACTGCTCACACATCTACGCCAACAAATCGGCGAACGCCCCCAGCGAGAACTACTTCGACTGCAAACACTCTTTCTCCGTCGTTGCGCAGGTCATGGTCGACCTGGATCTGCGCGTTCTGGACGTGTTCGTTGAGTATCCCGGGAGCTGCCATGACATAAGGGTGATCCAACTGTCTAGTCTGTCGCGGCGCGTGGAAGAGGGAACGTTGTTTCGTGGGCCGCCTGTCTGACTCCGGGCGGGATGAGGACAAACGGATACATCTTGGGCGACAACGGGTACCCTCCTTCTGAATGGGTAGTGGTGCCGTATGACGGAATCAATCAGCCCCCCGACGAGGAAAGGTTCGACACGAAGCAGAAGGTCACAAGAGGGGTTGTGGAGAGGGCGTTTGGGCGGTTGAAGGGGATGTGGAGGCTCTTCCTGCGGATGCACAAGACCAACCTAGACACTGTGCTGCAGCAGTTCATGGTCGTCTGCATGCTACACAACATTCTCCTGGATGCTGGTATCGAATCTGCTATGGGAGGTCGACGTGAACGGGGTGTGGCGCCGAGTGGATCTGGGGATTCATCTTCCCCCACAACCAGTTAGCAATTTTTCTTCCACGACCGAGGTGATCGCGCTCCGGAACGCTCTAGCAGAGCGAATGAAGCACATTTAATCCGCGATACGACCTGACTGTTTCTCGAGATGAAAGTACCATGTTCATGTCCTGTCTCATCGTCGTCGATCCAGAGCGCTCGCTTCGTTGGTTTTCACACGCGGATGGTATTCTGTCGTCTATCGCTGTGTGTTGGACGTTTCTTCCGTCGAGGATGGCTTGTTTGGCCGTCCTCGTAATTGTGGACGACGACAACGAGGGTGTTTTGTTCGTCGATCATCGGGGTGGATGCTTGTAGTGATGAGGACTGTCGTTGTTCCTCGCGTTCTAGTCGCGTCTTTTCTTTACTGGTTTCACCATACCTTTCTTTTCACCGTTTTCCAGCGATTGCGGGGCTTGGGGTGGGGGAGTGGAGGCGGTGTGGTGGCAGGTGGTGGTGGTTAGGGCGGTACGCAAGTTTGCCACGTCAAGTGGGGGAGGTAGGCGGGCGAGAGCCCAGTGCGGTGTTTATGTTCACGTGCTTATCCATGTTTGTATGTGTTTAAAAGATTTTGGTTGTTGTGCATGAGCGCTTCTCGAAGCGCTGAATCGATTTCTCAAGCACAAGAATGTGTTTTTCTATTGGACTTGTATGTGAGGTCGTCTTCTTGCGTCTGGCTGTGTCCTTCTCAACAACGAGTTTGTTTTATTGTCTTGTGAATGAGACTTCTGTCATGTATCTCGTCAGCGTTTGTTTGCATTTCCAAATGTAGATCGTTGTTGCGTTGTTGTTCCACACACGACTTGCATTTCCAAAGAAAAACAGTGGTACGTGAGCAACCATTCGCACACAAATCGAAGTCCTCAACACACACATTCCTCAATTGAATCCATAGATTCGCATTGCATACTCGAAGAGGTAAACCCGAGTTTTTCATGCTACCCAGCCTTCCACGGCGCACAACTATGACTCTGTCTCTTATACACATCTAGATGTGTATAAGAGACAGGGGAGGAGGGGGAGGGGAGGGAGAAGGGAGGAAGTTGCGGGGGAAAGGAGGGAGAGAATAGGTGGCTCCAACCTCCTTGCGACGGGGTGAAACTGAGCCTTGACGGAATCTGGAAAATTTCAAAACTCGATGACCGAAAGGTGGAACTCCGAAACGACGGGCCGGACCTTGTTAGCTGAAGGGTACTCAGCGCATATACTCATGGCCATCCGTTCTGGTCGCACCTATCGGACTGAATCTGGGCGTCATCGGGGTCAAACACATGACAGAAAATCCTTGTGTGATGACCAACAACAAGTGACAAGGATAGACCGTGCTCAACGCCATGAAGACATGGGCTGTGCACTGTGTGTGCCTGTTTGAGAGAGAAAGAGAGAGAAGGGGCCGGCGAGAGAGAAGACAGGGGCCGGCTCTTTCTTCTGGGTGGGGGAGGGGGGAAATCACATCTGTACCCCCCATCTTGCATACATACCCGGGAAATGCCCTGCGGACATTGTTCGCATGGCCGGTCCACTGTTCGTACCGGACGGCGCCTTGCAGTTATACCCATTAACTTCTGGGAAAATTATGGATCTACCCCAAGCAAACCATGAACAGAGTGGACCAGCCAAATATAGCGGAATACCGGATGGCAGAAAATACTCTTACCCAACAGGTTTGGCCAGAATGCCTGGTTCAATCCCCATGGCCGCCTGTAGCACTCTTGGCGCCAACCAACTGAGGGCATACTCACACGGCGACCCCAAATCCGCAAAATATGCAGATTTGGGAAGGATCGATTTGCCGTTTTGGGCATTGTTCACGTCACACGGTCTGCCCTGACTGCATGGCTAGAAAACAAGTGTCAACAATTGGAAACCCTCCTCTGGCAGATAGAGGAGGATCCAGCACTAGAGCCTTTTGTTGATTGGCAGCGGGCTAAGGCCCTGATAATGAGCTGCAACTTGATCTTTGATCAGGGTGCAGACTTCTGGGCTGCGCTCAAGGAGAGGTTGGAGACTGAAGCCTGGCGGGAGGCTGAGGTCTGAGGTCTCCAATCTTGTCACCATGTACTCAGGGGAAGGTCTGTCATCAACAATGATAACAACACCGCTCATCTATTCAGGAGAGGGTGCATCATCAACAATGATAACAACACCGAGGACAACATCTTCGACTATAATAACGGCGGATGCTCTGGCACTTATCGTGGGGATTTTGCATGGCACAGAGGATCTAGATACGGAAATGACAACTGTCACGGCAGCAAAAACAATGGAGGTTGCTCCTGCGTGTACTATCATGGAAACATCATTCGATAAGGGCGAACCAGTAGTTCGAATTCCAAGTCTGAAAACAAGAACAACACCAACGACGAAAACGACAACTATCACAACAACAAAAACAACGGAGGTTGCTCAGGCGCAAGTCACGGTGACAGTAGTCGACATAGAGGAACCGGCTGATCAAATCTCAAATTCGCTAATACCAAGACCAGCGACAACCGTTTCAACAACGACACCGGCACCACTGGAAGTGGAGGCAGCTGCTTTTGAGCCACACGAGGAGCTATTCCCTGACAAGAGAGAACAACGGCAAGACATCGTGAAAACAGTAAGTATGGAAGTGACATCACTGGCAAGGATGACTGCTGCCCCTGTAATCTTCTCGACAATTTCAAACGGCGCACGGGGGGTGGGGGGAGTCGTTGATTGGCTAACGGCCCTTCGTCGACAATTTTGCTAGCTCTGTGGCAGAGTGCCCTGTTTTCTTTTGGCCAATGGTGGAATGCAGACGGGGTGATGGGTTATCTGGATGGTATTCTGATCCTGCTTCTCTCCTTTATCCCNCTCTCTCTCTCTCTCTGTGTGTGTGTGTGTGTGTGTGTGTGTGTGTGTGTGTGTGTGTGTGTGTGTGTGTGTGTGTGTGTGTGTGTGTGTGTGTCCGAACTTGACAACAAATATAAAAAAGTAAACTAAACAAGACTACTGCGCTGCGCAATATCTACGTGGCGACTCCATTCGCAAGGTCACTATCAGCCGAAGCATCTGCCGTACCGTGTGCACGACTTGCCCTGCCTAACTGCCAACGTCGTCGTACGCCCTGTGCACGTGTCAGTGAGTGCACGTGGAGAGAACCATCTAAGCGGCACATTTTACAAGCCGCGCATGTGGATAGTGACACCGTCACTAGTCAAAACACAACACGTACCCGTCTGCAATACCTGCGTCGAATGCCCCACCACCCGGAGATCGAAGAGCCTCCCCACGCAGGACGACCACCCCGACCGATTGACCTTCCAAATGACCCCGCATGTCACTTGCCGTCACCGCCATCTTCATCCGCTGGAGGACCGCTGGAGGACCGCTGTCGGTCCAGTCGTGTTTTGCGGCTTCAGCTGCATTCTTCAGGGCGGCGTTGTGATCGCACACCAACCCACAATCAACCCATTCCAGGATGCAATGCGAGTACTCTCCCAGCTTGAGGTAGGGCTTCCCGAGGCGATCCAACACGAGGTTGGCGCTGTCAACGATGTGTCGCGTCCAGTTGAAGATGTACGACCCCGCCGCTATGAGAGTGGGTTTCGCGGTCAGTGATGCGTACAATCCCGCCTCATAGTGCGAACGATCGTCATCGCCACCCATGCGCATGATCCACATGCACGCGCTCAACAAAACCCTCAGACAATCCGCAAGCCGCGTTAACCTCTCTTGTTTCAATTTGCCACCATCCGCCCATTGCCCGCACCAAAGCGCATCTGTCCAGCACTCCACCATGCGAAGAATTGTCGCCTCCTGTTGCGCCGTCATGTCATCATCTTCAGGTTTGTCCACAATTTTCACCCCAGCGAACCACAAAGGCATGTCCATCTTCATTTGCAACGTGTAGTAAATGAGGGTTGGGGAAACCACTCTCGACCATTCCAACCCTACCAAACAGCTCGTGCGACGTCCGTAGTGTAGTCGACGGTGATGTATGACTCTGCACGAGCAAAGCCATTCGACCTCGACGACGACTTGAAGATCCACCCGTGGATGGTGCGCATTACCTGTTTCTCCACGATGTGCGCTCTGCGCAAAGCCGGTTCACGCTGCGCGGGATTGTCGATCTTGAAGCGTGGCACATCGTTCGGCGGCATAATGAGCATGGACGCTGGTTCGGCTCCTGCGTCTCCGTTGGCAATGACGACGAAGTAGTCGGTGCAATCGTCAATCGCCTCCCTCAACGGTTTTCCGACCCCAAAAAGCCGCAATCAACCCACAACTTCGACCTCTCCTCCAGATTAACCTCCTCTGCAGTTCTCTTCCGCCTGCTGGCAAGGGGTCGGTCATCATCATCATTGGCTTCCCGTTATCATCCATTTTACCATCTTCACGGCGCACGTCATTGACCCTCCCCTCTACCACACATTCCGCGACTCCGCTTGCAGAAGTGTGATGATCTCCCGCCGCCTGCGTCCACTTTCTTTTGCGGGGGCGGTGTTATCGCCGCGCTTGAACCTACCGCCTGTTGCACGGGGAGTGCCTGACATGGCTGGACTGCCCCGATCACTGCCTTGTCAAGTCGGCCACCCCCAACGACTGGGACGATCGGTGCGCGAACGCCGCTTGCCATCTCCTCACCCACCCCCACAACTTGCCTCTGCACGCGCGCCTCGTTGATGACAATCCCTTGAGTCTTGTGTGTCCTAGGCGACACTCCGACGGCACCACCAGCGACGACTTGTCCGATAGCAGCGAGTTGATCCCTCAACACCCCGTCCTGCCCAAAACCCAATCGCTGGCTCCCTGACATCCTTTGCGCGTGCACCACCACAACTTCCTCTGATTGGAAGTCGTCATCATTCTCCGAGCTCGCCTCATCAACGCGCAGCCTTTTCGACCTGGGCACATGGCCTCGACCTTTCTGGCCTTCCCCCCCCTTGCCAAGACCGCTATCTCTCCTCTCCTTTCCTGTCGCGCCCCGAGGTGCCATGTGGATGCAACTTCAGTCCCCCTGCCACGTGGCCAATGAAGGCGTGTTGTAGTGCGACGTGGATGTGCACGAAGGGCACGTGGACGTCGACGTTCGACGGCTGGCGGAAAGGAAGGACGTGGATGGCGCATATGATGGGGCACTGGCCAGAGAGGAGGTTCAAGGACGGCGACCAAAAAGGTCCACCACAAAGTGAGAGCAGACGACGTGGAGGCGCGGAACGTCGAACGGGATGCAGAGGCGTACGACGAGAGGGCAGTGCACACGAGGCACCTCTGGATCCGTGGCAATGGAAGGATTGCATTACGGAATGGCACCCAGACTGTCCGTTTGTACCATGCGCAGTCTCTCACCACACCATGGATGCGCCTCGCCATACCTGAAGCCCGCCCCTTCGTTGACCGTGTGCAGACCATTTTTCCTCGCCCAATGGAAGTCATCCTTCCATTGGTCCGACATTGAATGTTGGAGCGCAGGAGGACCCCGCCGGAGCTCGAAAGGGCCTTCCACCCACGCTTGCACCGCCACCCTCGAAAACACCCAGCGCCCATATCACCCCCCCAATCCCCATCCCCCCCCCCCCCCCCCCCCCCCCCCCCCGCCATGGGCTTTAGGTGCGGCAAGGCGCATCCATGGGATTCAGGTATGGTGAGGAGCTTCCTCCCCCCCYCCCCCCCCCCATAAGGCTTCATGCGTCGCCAAAGGACAAAAGAAACAGGGCGACTTCGAACCGACCAGGCTTCAACGATCCTTGATCGCAAAAAAACAAAACAAATACAGAAGATTCGCAAAAAAAGCAAATGAAAAGAAGGCCAAAAAACAAAACAAAAACTACTACTACAAGAAAAAAACAACAACACAAAATCCGTTTGTGGTCCATTTACGCAGCACATCCTGAGACGGTCGGCAATCTTGTCCAAAACGAAGATCGAATTCAACGCGAAACAAAAAAAAACCGACAATAAGGATTTCACATCATGCAACGTGTTCATCGGTCCAGGATCGCAACACTACTCGGCGAAAACAATCCACATTGACAACCCTAAGAAAAGGTCGACATCATCGCAGCTCTTCTAAGAGCACGTTGGACAGTCGCAATACTAATCGGCCACAACAATCGAAATTGGAAAACATACTACACCAACAATGGATGCGCCACAGGGCACGGAAACGACACCGAAGGCCGCTCTATGGGGGACGCGAGCAATGAATACTTAAAACATTAATCAAGCAATACATGTATCAAACAATGCGACGGGCAAGAACGGCCCCTCCTGTGTTTACACTACCTCCACCGCGGCACACTGCAGCACGCAGGACAACGGCAACGACGCTGCTCCCGAAACGCACACATGGCGATCGCAGCGACCTCGGAGAAGCGTGACCGAGAGACGTTAAGATCGCTCACGGATCGCTTTCGCGATCTCCAAAAAGGCGTTGCACATCATCAAGTTCCCCAGGTCGGCCTTCTCGTAGTGCTGCTTCTGCACCTCTACCTCTCGCTCGAGAATGTCGGATTGCCTCGTTAGAACTAAACACTGCCTTTTGCTTGCGTTGTCCACCGTCGTCGCCATCAGCTTCCCGTGCTTATCCATGACGTCGGCGATTGCATCGAAGGTCTGTTGTCTGACATTCTTCCTTTTGCCGCCCCCGCCTGCACTACCACAGTTGAACGTCGAATCCCTCGTCGATCCCTGATCGTCGTCTTGTCCGTCCCCACATCCCTCGCTGGCCACGGATTCGTTCCGACCGCCACCTGGCCCGACCATCTTAACTCCTCCAGCCGCACCCGTGTCTGCGAGATTCGTCGGGTGAATAGTGTGATCGGCCTTCGACATTGCGTTCATCTCGGAATACACACGCTCATCCATCCGAAAGTCAAACCTTTCTCCTTCCTCTCCGCCAGTATTAGTGTGAAGAAATTTTGCTTCCCCGATTGTCCCATGAATCTGTGCACGGATTTGAACTGCTGGTTCCTCGGCCTTCCTAATAGTCACCCCCGCCTTCACGAGCCTCTTCTCAATGTCATTCCACTTCCATGTCCTCGACTTCATCCGTCCATAGTTGTGCCCCGGCCTGGCGAGATGCAAATCCTGGTCTCTTTTCGCCCGGACCAGAGAGATCATATGATCGACAGTCCAAAAATCCCTACTTTTCCCTCCGTCGCCTGTGGACGTGTCATCCACAACCTTCTTGCCTTTTCGGCCCGCACGCGGTTCTGTCGACTTGTTTGTGACCCGAGTACCTGTCCGCTCGTCCCAAGCGGACAAATCTCCATCTCGCCATCATCGTGCTCCCCATTGTCATTGTCACCGTCGTCTACCGTGCAATCTTCGCCCCCCCCACCATCGCAGTCCACGAGCATGTCATGGCCCCCGACATTCATCTTCGCCACCCCTCTCGTTATGCCAGACGTGCTGGACTGGCGTGATTGTCGCCGATGATCGTCCCAAACCTGTCAACCCATGACCTCTGTGGCGGACCAATCATCGTCGCCCCATCGCCCGTCAATTGCATCAGTAGGTGTCGCCGATCGGCAGGCCGCCAATCCCCCTGTCCTCGTCCTCGAAGCGGCCATACCCTGTCTCTTATACACATCTAGATGTGTATAAGAGACAGTCCCAAACCTGTCAACCCATGACCTCTGTGGCGGACCAATCATCGTCGCCCCATCGCCCGTCAATTGCATCAGTAGGTGTCGCCGATCGGCAGGCCGCCAATCCCCCTGTCCTCGTCCTCGAAGCGGCCATACCAGCACTGCTCATCGCTCCCCGCTTTGGCGAAACGAGTCCGCGCTCGTCGCCCAACTCATGGTAACACCCGCCGCGCTCGCCCGGAAGCCCCCCTGCCGTCGCCGAAGGCCGTGCGCGGTTGCTGCCCGAAGTTGGGTTGACGACAATGGTGTGCGTCACGTCCTGACCGCACCAGAGCTCAGACCGAAGCTCAGATCGATGAGTCCTGTGTCGTAGCCGGCCGGGGTCCGCCCTTCCAGAAGATCAGTGTACGTTGGTGTTGGTGGCTGTCTGAACAGCTGGCTCCCCATCGAATCCTGCGTCGAGCCGCTGCCCAGGGGAACCGTTGAGGATAAGGGGTCGTCGGCGTCGGCGTCACTCGGAGGCAACAGAATCTCGTGGGACGGGAGGTGGCTGTACAACGGCGGGTCATACGGTCACCTGCCACCTTCCATACCGGTGCAATGCAGACGTGAAGACCTCCCCGCCACTGCAGGTTGTCCATCTTCGTCACCTTCTTCGACGTTCGCGGTGCCACTTTCCGTCCACGAACGCGGTCGAGGGAGCAGATGTGGAAGACGACAATGACAAGCAGCAGCAAAGCGACAAGGAGCAGCAAAGGCAGCCTGCGGCGGTACAGGTCAGCCATGGACAATAGGGCAGCGGATATGGAACATGCACTTCCACTGTCGCATTCGAGGCGAGTGGCGACACAGTACTGGAGGAAGAAGCCAATGAAGCAGATTTCTGCAATGAATGACCGGGGGTGGACGGCTACAAAATTCGTAAATTCGACCGTTGGGGTGCCCGCACGAACGACAAAACCCCTCCAGCAGCCGGCCGAAGACACCCGATGCTCATCATGGCCCCGCCGACAGGCCGCCCGAAGAACCGACAGGGTCGCCCCATGAATCGCCGGTAACGGTAAACTGAGTAGGCCGTTGCAGGATGTTGTTGACGACGACGGCCCGCAATGTCCGTCTTCCGGCCGGTGGACCACGAATGGACCACCTTCGCCCTTCAATTTTCCTTCTGAAGTCGACACCGTCAGCCCGTGAATCGTGGATCCTCGGGCTCCAAAGGACCTTGCGAGGTCCTTTGCACTCGAGGACGATTTGTCCTCGGAGTGTTTTCACTTTTTTTTTCCTGAAAATTGACTCCGAGGACAGGTGGAACGACGACGAAATCCTTGGAGTCGCGTCCCCGAGGAGAGTCTAACGACGCCCAGTCTCCTTTGGTGGCAGTTGACAGCGCGCGATGAGGCCTCCTGGCAGGACGGCTTGGAGACCTCCGTGACCTGACTTCAAGTACAACGCATCCGCCGCTGGCGACCGAGTAGCACCGATCCCAGTTGATGACTCCCGTGTGGTCGAGGTTGTGGGTTCTGTGCTTGTGTGTTCTGTGTGTGTGGGTGGGTTCACTGCGCCGATAGGAGGCTGATCTCGGTGCATCCAGCCTCCTGGCGGACATCCTCCCGTCGCACCATCCTCGACACCCCTCACAACCTTTCAAAGAACAAAAAGAACACCAAAAAAGAAAAAGAAAGTGCACCTGTCCAGGGCCGCAGCACAAGGAACGAGAAAGTGCACCTGTCCTGCGCAGTGCAAGGAACAGAGAAAGTCACCTGTCCAGGGCAGCCCAAAGAATGTTCCCTGAACTACAGGAGAGAGACAACGTAACCAAGTGGTACATTTTTGTTTTGCGGATTCAGTGCAGACTTGGCCATCCTATGGAGTAGTGCCCCTAAGATGATGACAATGGCACAGCTATTTTTCGACCCACAATAATTCCTGGGCCTCCACAGTCCACAAATTTCATGACACTTCAGAAAAAACAGCCACACCATCAACGTCATCTAAGGGGCAATACCGGATTGAATGGCTGACTCTGGCCTTGTTTGCGCCAACCTCCCGAAGGGGATGCTACAGTAACTCGTACGGGAAGAGCACGAGGTGTGCTGACTTCAGTTTGAGAAGCCTGGAGAACGGCCCTGAGGGCATATGCACACTACCGGTAGGACCTCAAAAACACAAGATCGCAAAATGATCGGCCGGATGGAGTCCTCCCTTTACAAGGACTCGATCTGGCCGCTCATTGTGGGGCTTCGCTATTTTGAGGGCCTGGTGTGAGTGTGCCCTGAGTGCGGTTGTCCACAAGCTGCCAACTTCTCCAAAATAGTCACTACCAGCTTGGACAAGACAAAAATTTAAAATTTTCATTTTAGCTTTCTATGCTCCTTGACAGCTGGAAAACTGTTTCCATACTCTTTGTCAATGAGTGCCATGCGCATGTGAGTGCTGCATTCTGGATTATTTTCCATTATTTGCCCAGTCAGTGGAGCACAAGCCTAAAAGAAAGAACAAGAGAACTCTTCCCTGGCATCTCATGGAGAGCTGGAACATTTGTACACCTCGCGAACTTCTTTTGTTTTCTTTTTTTAATCTGCCCGCTTCAACAGATAGGAGTGATGGTAAGAGAATACACTCCTACCTGTCTTGCAGGGGACTCCAATGTATTGGTGGGGAGCTATTGCCTGCTGGAAAGCGGGTCGAGCATCAAACTTTGAGCTGACACTTGGACTTCCAGTGCCGGCCAGGCTGTTTCCCCC